ACTACATTACCTACCGGCATAAAAGATATATTAATATAAATAGAATTTCTATTATCCATTACAACTAATTTATTGTAAGAGATATCTAGCTACTTTTCCCTCTCTTCTTTCTTAACCCATTGGCGATATTACATTCAGAGTTCCATTCCTTTGTCTTATATACTAGTTTAACTAAAATAAAACGACTTGGAAATTGCTTTCAAATGGTATTATACAATCTCTCCGAAAACGATTCAACAGCAGGTACAGTAAATCCAAAATAATGGTTTGTCACATCACATGAGTTAAAATCGCCTAACAGGTGGTAAGGGATTGTGATTTTATTTGAACGAATGGACGCACGGAATCGCAAAACGGCCGAAAAAAAGGCGAAATAGAATCGCCAAACCACAGGAAGAGAGAAATACAACCGTTGATGCAAACTATCCATAGTGGGAAGCTGGTATAATACCAACAACCCACCCATAGCAAGAACATCTGATAAACCAACACTGGCTGAGGGAACACCCTTATTTTTTTGTTGGCGGACGGCCACCGGCGACGGTGGTAAAGCAAATAATAATATATGCTTGAATAGGAGATGACATACAAACACAAACACTTCTACTCGGTCAAATGGAGGGATCCATATTCTAATGTAAACCCACTGGCGTAAAGGGGTAGAGAAGCCAAGAAGAAAGGGAAGAGAATTAAAGACCGAAAGATCCAAGGGCGGAGAGTCGACTAGAGCAGTGATCCCAGGTGGCAAGTCCGGCCAGTACTTCCTTGGTTTTGAAAAGCCTTGGGCGGTTCGGTCGAAATTCTCAGAGGCCTACAAAACCCTGCGGCGCTCAGGCAACCGCGCGGTCGAAACTTGACGAAACCAAGGTCAGAGGCGCCATATTCCAAGGTAATCCGAAGATGTCTATGGACAACCTGCAGGTTTTTCACGTTTAATCACTCCGGATACGATAGTAGGAGGAACATACCCTTGGTGCTATCGATCTCGCCCACGACAACTCTATGCCATCCACCGATGATCCACCATGATACCTGAATACACTGTCCTACCTCAAGGCATTCCATACCATTTCTCAGATAACTGTCTAACCTTCCACGGTGAACATGTATCAACCGAGTGATTTTATAAACAATTAGTCCGGTTGAATAATAAACTTTTCTTAGTAATAGAACACAAGTGATCCCTTGAAGCATCGGCCTACAGGCGACCCAGGCCGGGCGGGGCTTTGGTTTGTAAAAGCCCCTTTCTCACATTCCGGCCCGGCTGTCCCTGAAAAAGCCTGGGTCAGCCCGGCAGTAGTCCAAGCTGGACGGACTGGCCGCTCGGGATCACTGGACTGGAGTAGAGGATTATCGTCATATCCAAGCTTGCAACGCTCCGGGGGACACTATTTAATAGACAAATTGTTATTAGAACGGAAATAGGCTCACCCCCCAATAATATCGTCTTCAAACTGGCTTATCCATTCATTCCCGGTCTCAGGTTCGATGCCCGCCCCCTCCAAACTCCCATCTATGTCCGGAGTAGTAGTTTAGAAGACATCGGAACTAGCGCTACGAGAGGAAGAGGTGGCGGCGTTTGTACCCGAATTGCGGGATTAGCCTGAGTTTTGAAAACAGTTCGAGTTGCCGTATTGGTGTGGAGGCTCATCAGGCAGAGCGGGGAAGTAGCCATTTTGAACAAACTGCTGGTTAGTGGTTCCAGAGACTTGCTCGTTGAAGTTGAATCTCTGAAATCCCTGGAATCCAAAATTTGCAAGTCCATTTGCGGTGTTTCCAATATGGGAGAAGTTGTTGAGAGGCATCTCAATGCTGAGCCCTGGTATCAAGTGGGTAGAGTTATAGCGAGCCCCCTCCTCTAAATTTTGATTATCAGTTTCAGGGATGTTGGCAGGGCCTCGGCTGGATGCACTGCTGGGGGGTTGGGACGCTCCAGGCTTGTATGTGGTAAGAGGCCTAGAACCAAAGTCCATGCCATCGGCTTTGTCATTTTTGGAACTGCTAGTTACAAAGGTAGGTAATTTCTATTATTATTATTGATAGTTCGGAAAAGCTCGCCTATGGAGTCCCTTTGTCACATCATCTTGGGCCAGGAATCTTGGGTCCAAGGCAAAAGTCCTAGGAGTCGAAGTTTGTATCTTGAGCAGTAGTAGCTTCCATGACATTCATTTCGGGAGCCAAGTACTCCTGTGATCTGGGGGTAGCATTCGGAACGATAGCAGTAACCGGGAGTCCAGGAACGACGGTATTTTATGCTCCAGGGCCTCTTACACCGGGAAGGCCATCTGTTCTCTGCGAGTTCTCTATCCGGTATTTAACAGTGACTTTGAGGGGATATGAGTCTCCACACCACCACACACAAGATCGTGACTCCACTCCTTGACTTTCATATTGGGTTCGGCAGCTCAGACTTTCTGATGAAATTTAACGGGAGAAAATACCCAACCCGAAGGATGCAATCACTGGTAGTGGTGCAATCCCAGATCCTCCCAAAATGCTGCAGATCACCGAACACTATTCGTCACTTGCGGTGTGGCTAGGTAAAAGTAACTATATCCAGGGCGAGAATGGGAGCTATTATGCTCCAAAGGTAGAGTACTCCCCCACAAAAAGTGGCCTACTCATGCGAAACTGTGTCAGTTTGTTTGCACGTTACGATCTTCCTGGGGAAGGGTGGGAAATGCTGCTTACAATGTCTCCTCCTTTCCTTCAACTTGGGCTCTGGCCACTTCCTCAAGGTGGGGGTTCTCCCTGCGGACGATGAGAAATCTCCCCCCCTGGTAATTTACTTCACAGTGATGAGCACGATTGGGTCACGCCCGAGTTTTGCTCGAGCAGGACCCTCGTTATCTGCCCGATTTGATCGAGCAGGGATACTGCTCTATCGCGTTTGTGTATGCACGATCATCCCGAAGAATTCGGGATCACCATCGATCACTCTATAATTTTACCCACCCACAATCACGTGATATCATCTAACTTTTTAGTATAAAAACTGTCTACCCCTCGCACTTTGTTGGAAATCGTGGATACTAATCGGAACTTGCTCAACATGTTCAGGTGCTTGTCCCGCTTCCCGGGAGGGAGAGTTCTGAGATGCGCTTTGAATTAACTCGCCGGTGGAAGGAAAACATTTATCCGCCGGAGGCCGCATGGAAGCTTCAAAAGGACTAAGGGCACACGAGGCTACGAGCAGTGGGAGTATTTACGAAGCCTATATTTCTTTTGCCAACATGGGAGCACGCAGAGGGAATAGAGACTTGGGTCGGTGAGAATTGATAGGTGCGGTGACCGATGGAAGTATAGGCGAACTTCATTACCTATCCTAAAGTTCTCTGCTGGTGATCGGAGTTCCGCTACTATGTTACTGATCGTCGTTCCGTTTCGCCGTTCAGTCATCACTGTTTAAAATACTTTATAACATATTCCCGGCGAGAGCTACTATTGTCAATTCCTCGACACGCTTTCCTTCGCTATTCACGTTTTAGGAATGCCCTAGCTTTCATAATCCGGCCAGTGAAAAAAATAGTATCCGACACTCCGAGCACTAATGACTCCGATTCACTTGTCCTAGAGAAATTATCTTAGTGGCCTTATTAGTTAAACTGTCAGTAATTGGCTTAAATCTCCCATCACATTCGAGTGATATGATAAGCGAAAACGACCCCAGTGGATGGATAATCGACTAGACCAGAGCACGATGGAGCAGCATCCAAGTCCGAGCACTCGATCAGTACCCACTGATTTTCTCGGGCATTCGAACATGGTGTCCTCCCGATTAGACCACCCCCTAGTAGCATAAGCTACCCCCCCATAATCTACTCGAGCGTGCTCTTTTCCGTAACTACTTTCACAAATCTTTTGGAAAATTTTGACCCCACCAATTTCGCGAGCCTTTTATTGTTTTCCCTTCATATCCCTTCCCGAGACATGCATTGGCAGCGCACGCTACTCGCACGTATGTGTGAGATGGCATTTACGCCAATCCATTATATCTAGAATGCGTTCTTTCCCATGAGATGTTCACCCAGCCCGGTTCACCCAAGTGGTCAGTAAGGCCGGCTTCGAGTATGGCCGGATTTTTGGAAGGCAATTTCTCAAAGCCAAAACAGGGCCAGGCCTTTTTCACCTGCAGGAGAAGGTTCCAAGCGACCGCCCGTGTTTCATTGCCTGGCAAGATTTTATAAACTCTTTCAACAGGTATAATTGTTCATAGCAAAACCATTCTGCTAGAAGTCACCCGGGCTGGTCACGGAGTAGCGTGAAGAATGGTACTGAGGTGCCTTGAGCAGGACAGTACTAGTGTCGAGTAGATCTGGCTCTTGTGGCGATCGATCGGTAATGACATAGATTTGTTTGAAGCGGGTTCTACTTGTATAGGACCAGGAGCATGTCCCGTATTCTAATTGTTTCGAAGTGGGAAAGTCTGCGGGGCGTTCAGAGATACCTTTGCTTGCCTGGGTACCACCGGGCTCGGCAGACAATTCGAGTGATAATTCCTGACCCAAAACGCGACCCCCGCTTTCCCTAGAGTAGTCATTCGGGGAGTAATTTCGGTTTGGTAGGTCACCTATCTTACAGTAGACCCTCCGAGCGTTCCTTCTTAAGATATGATATGATACTCATGCGGAGTGTCGGTGGGTTAGGGTTTCCGGAGTAAAGGTTGTTCGGGAAACGGGAGTGTCTTAAGTGCGGAAAATTGCCAAAGGGAGTGAAGGGGGAGAAATAGTGCCTTGGTGGGTATCCTGCGATTACACCACATAAAAAGCCTAGTATCATATGCATAATTCAATCAAAATTTATTGTGATATCCTGGATTGCTGCATGTGCCGGTATAGAGCGAAGAGTGTGGACAACCCCTTATTCCTTAGTCAAGCATTCTTTGGCACGGGGGGCTTAAAGTGACCTTGTCTAAGACAATCTTTACCATGTATGATCCAGGAATTTCGCTCCGCCGTCTTCTACATACGGTAATTTTTGACAAGCGCTCTCGGAGGACACGGATCCAAAGCTCTATTTACCTCGCCATCGTTTACCCCCTTGGGTCATGGACACCCATCGACAATCACAATCGACGACTAAAGCAACAGGTATGATATCCCCCACGCTATCATAACTATTTTTTCGCCACCCATCTAACCTTCTCGCCCAAAAAACGCTCCCACCAGCCGCTCCAATCTCTTCGCACTCTCAACCCTCTCAACAGTTACATCCATCTCCTCAATAACCCCCACCCCGCCCTCCAACCCCAAAATCCTCGCTACAACCTCCTCTGCTGCCCCCCAAGCAACACACATTCCATCCCCAGTATACCCCGCAGCCACCCACTCCTTCCCGATACCCTGCTGGCGTCCTGATATTTCCGGGGGAACTTCACCAATCCAGGGAAGCATATCACCGGAGAATCCCATAATACCGGTCCAGATCTTTTGCACACCGGTACCCAGCCCGATAGCCGGGAGGAAACCGGAGAGGTGGATAGTGGTACATAACTCGACTATGCTATCGTCAACAGTCCCAATTTCGGTCTTCAGCGCTTGACGAAGACCCCCGCCGAACATTATCGTTCGGTCAGGAAGTGTGGTCAGGTAATCGTAGCCCTGATCCCATGAGAACTGCCAGCTCCTATTCTCGTGTAAGTGGCATTTTGTCGGTGGGGATTGCGCTGTCATAGTTCCACGGACGGGGAACAGCGCCCCCGTGAGACCAGGGAGGAGATTCGCAGTGTAGCCATTAGTTGCGTGGAGTATGTGAGTGGCCTTTAAATCTCCGCGCGGAGTATGCACGATGTAGGGCGATGTGGGGGAATCTGGAGGAGTGATAGATGTAACGGTGGTGCTGGTGTCAAGCGTAAAAGTAGGGTGCATGGAGAGCAGGCGGGTGAGGATAGGGTGGATGAGGCGGGCGGGCCACAGGGCACCAGCAGGACCGGTTATAATGCCCTTTGCGTGTGGGGTAGAGAATTTCTGAGGATGTTAGTCGGTTATGAAAAATGGGTTCAGGGAGGTCGTGGGAGTGGTGGATGTGGTCACATCCGAGATTCAAAACAACAAATTTCCGATTGAAAACCGGTACGTTTCGACGAAGAGGATGCTGTGTAGCATCGGTATTCGACATTGCAATGGGTGGTGACGACTGTAAGGGTCCCACGAAGGTAAGAAAAGAAACACACCCGAGAGTGAATATGGAATTGGGTAGATGCTGATTATCCCCGAGCTGAGATGTGCTAGGGGGCTCGACCTGCCCAGCCAATTTTCGGCCTGCCCCGTACCGGTATGTCGTAGCAGACACCTTGCGAGGTATCATATCCACCCTCCCCAGTAAACCCATTGACCAAACCAAGATCCTGGGATGTGACCAATCCACTCACGAAAGGAAACACATCAACCGAATACTCACCTGCCTTGCTTCCTCCCCCTCATACACCCTCCAATTCCCAATTTCTTCCGGAAATTCCTCCAGGTAAACAACCAAGCAAGTCTTGGCAGCAGCCCAGCTCTCAGCATCAAAATGTACATCCGCCGCTTCCACCTTTCGAATCTGACACTCCCCCGTGACACCCTCCGCATCTGCCACCGCGATCATTTTATCGAGAATACCCCTTCGGAATTCCGTCACCTTCCTCGCTTTCTCCCTACCGAGTACTGCCGCGAGCGCGGGAAATAATTCCCAAGGGTTAGGTTTAATATGACCACCATTGCGACCAGTCGCGCCTGAGCAAGCTTCCCGAGCATCCAGCATAGCAACCCGTAAGTCCGGCGAGTTAGATAGCAAGGTTCTCGCAGCCGCAGTCCCAGTTATTCCGCTACCGATGATTACGACATCTGCAGAAGCAGGGAAGGTAGGAGATTGATGGGTGAATACCGGTGGGGGGTCAGATAACCAGAAGGAGGATGTGGGGTTCGAAACCGGCTGTCGGGGAGCGGTTGAAAGCGCGCTTGCGAGGGATTGTAGGTGGGAATCGAAGTTTGGCAGGACAAGCTTGGTTAATTGAGATACCGGTATGGTAGTCTCCATCGCACAGTGGTTACCTTTCCGGAGCAGGTGGGGGGGATATGGCGATGATGGTGATAGCGATGGATATATGTTGGGTGGGGACCAACAGCTCAGATAAATTTACCGGTATTCTTTTTCACCGGTTGAACTGCGTTGAAGTTGAATTACTCAATTTGGAAGGTTTTCACCTGAGGCTCTGCTGTGTAACTGTGAAATGAGACTACCCGAGTACTTTCCAGCAAGGTGTTGTCACACGTTGTAACCAACTGTTCCATCATTGATGCGACCTAAGATACCAAAAGTATCTAACCCAAAAATCACTACTACCAATTATTGAGTAATATGCTACGCATATTCCACTACTTCTCATTCTTACTTAAAGCTCTCCTATTCTCCATCCTCCTCAATCTTCTTAATCCTCTATTTACCACCTCCTGCAATCACCAAACCCCAATCAATTATCCCTCTTCCACGATGACCACTATTGATAAGTACTCTCCAAGAGATGGCGATGCCGTTCTCCCTCTCTTCTCCCTTAAAGGCCGAACCGCTATCGTTTCTGGGGCCGGTGCCGGTATTGGGTTGGCCGTAGCAGACGCTCTGGCCGAGGCTGGGGCAAACGTTGCCATCTGGTACAACAGCAACAGAAAGGCTATTGAGAGAGCCGAAGCAATCGGCAAGAAATGGGGCGTCAAAAGTATACTCTGCCTCCCGGAATTATCCCTCTCTTATTCATGACGTAATTAACACCGAAACTCCTATACAGCCGCCGCCTACCAGGTGGATGTGACCTCGCAGAAAGCAGTACAAGAAGCTGTTGACAAGATCGTCTCAGAGTTCAACAACCGCCTCGACATCTTCGTTGCGAACGCCGGAATCCCTTGGACCAAGGGTAGCATCCTCGAAGCCGGCGAGGAGGGATTCGACCACTACCGCAAAATCATCGCTACCGATCTCGATAGCGTTTACTTCTCAGCCTATGCTGCCGGGTTGCACTTTCGCCGACAGGGAACCGGTTCATTCATTGCTACCGCTAGCATGAGTGGCCACATCACTAACATCCCGCAGTTGCAGACCGCTTACAATGCAGCCAAGGCTGCGGTTATCCACTATGTGAAAGGACTGGCTGTTGAGTGGGCTGGTTTCGCGAGAGCAAATTCGGTCAGTCCAGGCTACATTGCTACCGAGATTAGTGACTTCGTGCCCAAGGAGACGAAGGATATTTGGAAGGAGAAAATTCCTTTCCAGTAAGTCTTCCAGGTCCTCCGGAGGTTCTGATGTGCATAGAGCTAAAAGGATGTATGCAGTCGTGAGGGATTGGCGAACGAGCTCAAGGGTGCTTACCTCTACCTCGCTAGTGATGCTGCTACATATACCACCGGAACCGACATTATCGTCGATGGGTTTATCTCACTATCCATCTCAACATAATTGATGGTAATGCTAACCAAATATGACAGTGGTTACGTTCTGCCATAGATATTACCGCTTTGTATAGGCTGTGTTAGATTTAATAGTTGGGATATAGGATGCTTTTAGGGCAATAACTTTGAAGGCTGAATAGGAACTAGTATCAGTTTGTCAAAGGCATGGATTCACAAATGACCACTCAATAAGTAAACATGGCCGAAGGGTCCCACAAGGGTCCTCAATAGGTAATAGTCAGGTGCTTCAAAGCAGGAAGTTGGGGGCGGAATTCTCGGAAACCTGAATCTAAAAAACTCTGCCCCACGCCAATTTTGCTTATCGCCAGGTATACCATTCGGCCGCAGTTAGTGGTACGGGGAAATTATAGGCTGAAAAGATGTTTTACACTTGACGTTAGTTATGGACCCCTGCCACAGTCCTGGAATAAAGGAGGATGATGTAGTACTCGTACAATACTCTAGTACCACAGCTTATGGGATAGTGTCAAGGCTTACAAGGCGGAATGCTGTGATGTATTCGTAGTCCTCCCTTGGGTCATTCATTGTAAGGTAAATGTGAACCTAATGCTTACCGTACTCAAAGACTATAATATAAAGTAGGGATTCCCGTCCACTGCTAGGTATAATTGTCAATATTGTTGGTGGGATACAAAGCGAGCGTAAATGTGAATCTCGCGGGAAAAAGACACTTATATCATACTCAAACTATAGTTAGTGGTTTCATTTGCTGCTTGCGCCTGGCCTCCCACCTTACACTTGTTCAATACTCTGCCCTCCGAACTCCCATTTCAGAATCACTCCCCAGGTCGGGCAACATTTTTGCTCCCCCCATCCAAAGGTCTACAGCAGCAACGTTTCACAGAAAATTGGTGAGCGTGCCGGTAGCATTATGCTCATACTAGGTTGACAATAAATGTATCTATCGGCCCCCACGACTAGCCTCTGCACTGTACAGTACAGTACTGTACCAACCCTAACCTCCCTTTCCCCCTTCCCGCCGGTCGGAGAGATTCGCCCACCGTACCCCATTTTCTACTTTCCGTTTCCCTTCTACTGCAAGGCAAGTATCATACATACTAGTATAAAAATTTTTCTCAGATGATAATTTCGTGGAATAATATTAAAAGATATTACTTGCCAAAAAAAAACCTAGGAGCTTTTTGGTACAGTACGGGTATCTCATTGGCGGTGGCGACAGAGGACGGCGAGTTTGCCAGTCAAGCCCAAATAATTTCCCCAAAATCTGCTACATATCAGTGCCCTTGAAGTGAGCCCTTTCCCTATATGTCCTTTAGCGTTTCTCGAGTGGGTTTAGACTTCACCAGTTTTACGCCTTCTCTAATGGTTGCGCCATGTTTTATTTGGCTCACTCAAATTTCCCTTTTTCTATTTGCTCTGCGCTCTCTGCCCCCCAGGTGAATTCCCATTAAGCCCACCTCTCACTATTAAACAGGCTTATATCGGAATCAGTCCCCGAATGTCAATCTTCCTCTGAATGATAGTTTTGGGGTCACTATGTGCCTTGTATTCTCAACGGTCCAGGGGTCCGTCCAGGGCAACAGCGAAACCCGGGGATGGTCATCTTCGGCTCGCGCGGCGGACTCCAAGTAATAAGATAGCTCTTTTCGGAGGCAGGGGTAGGACCACAGGCGATGCCAAGGGACCGCAGTGTGGGATAGGGGGACGTCATGAGTGATGTTTCATGATTTTAGGCCTGCCAGCATGATGCGAATCAACTACAGTCGACCGTGGCAAACTGGATACAGGGCTCCGCAATATATACCATAATATGGGTGTAGTTATGCGAAAAAGGTCACAACTTTGAAAATTGCAACGAATATGATCGAATTAATAATATTATTATATGATAAAAAAAAACAGATATTTCAAAATATTTACTTTATTGGCCTACAGTAAACTCAATTTTCTCGAGGGATCGTCTTTGGGTCTATCAAAGGATACTCTACGTGCTACAGAAGTTTTATATGAGTTCAATTATATTCGTTGCTTTTTTCAAACTTGTATCATACCTTTTTCGCATAACTACACTCATATACGCCGTTGTCGGGAACAGTGATCTTGGGGTTATCCTGTCTGAAATGATCAGCATCACCCAGCGAGAGTAAGCTATAGAGAGCCCACATCTAGATAACAAGTAGTGATCAAGTATGCCGTGGATGTAGTGTCAAAGTTTTTAAGCCAGTTCTGATACGAGTTGGTTCTTGAGATGCCAACAATGCGATCCATGTCCTCCGTAATCCATCACCTCTAACCCCATTCTATGCAGAGCTTCTAGCTATCAGATGGAAAAATGTGCGCAGCTTCTAACTGGCCCACTGACCCGCAGCACTCATATTTATTTACCCCACCCGAGATCATGCATCTTCCGTTCCGAGCTCCAGTTCCATCACTAAAGAGGTGCTCCGGGCCAGACACGTTGCACCAGGTGTTATTCGATGTACCCACAGCTCATCATTCAATTGAACGCGGCCTATCATACAACCGATTTACTGATTACACCCCCCCCCCCCATATGCAGGGACAACTATTACCTAGACTATATATTCGGAAAACCTAACCCCACTGAATTCAAGAGAAATTAATCAACTGCACTAACGAAAAACGAACCAGATGGTACCGTACATCACCGAGGAAACAAATCAAAAAAGGATTCAACAACCGGCGCTATGACAACGCTAGCTGTGTTGTTACCCCCGGAATGATATTGAGGGGACGTTTTCCAACCAACTTAGACTTCTCTCGTTGTCCATACTTGCAATAATTCTAGCGACAGTGGAAATCAGCTCATGGATCCAACGCCAAGTTATGTCCGGTTCTCCAGTGGACGGCAGCAAATCAACCCAGGATCAAGAACTTCAGTATGGAGGACAGTCCGAACTCTGAAGAATCATAGGGTACGTTTATGCCCATACTTCCTTGGCAATCGGCGCCGCAGCGCCACCAAACGCGGTTTCGTTGAGCTAAGGAAAAGCGTATAGCTCGAGACCTCGAGTCCAGTGTATCCCATATCTCAAACCTTCAATATCAATCGAGGGTTATCACGGGATTCTATCTATGATACCCGCGTAGAATTTGGAGGAAACGCCCCGGTCTCCCTGAGCTTGCACGCCCATGTTGATCCACCACACCTCTTTCCCTTCTCCCCTCTTGCATTCCTCCTGAATTTCCTTCTCCCTCTCTGTCCAATTATCGATTCATCTCTGAAAAATATGATGCCTAGTGGTGGTGGAAAGCATACTCTTCCCTACCATACCATACCTTTCCTATACCGGTGAAGGCGGACCTATACCTATCCCCGCAAGGGAGTGTATCTCTTAGGGTTTTTCTCCCCCACCACTGGGTAAATTCAATTGTTACTTTTGCATCCCTATTGACCCATTCCTAAAAGCACTAACGATGGAGTAGAAGAAGAAAGCCAACTACTCATAACGCTCCAAATGGCTGGCAGGAAGAGGAAATTTTATTCGATTTTTACTCTTTACAAATCCCCTATTTTCATTCAAGGTCTGTTGGTAGTGAGTTGGTTTTTTGGTTTTTATGATCGGACGTCGTGACTGGATATTTACACACCTTAGGCTTCGTGCTGCGCATGTGTCGTTGATTAAGAAGGGGAAAAGAGGCGAAAGTGAAAGAATTATTCGTGCAGGCCGGGCCGACCAGCAGCCGCCTTGGCGGGGGCGATTAATCTTTGTCGTGGCGTCCTGCGTGGAAGGGCGGTTACTTATCGGGGGAGTCTGAGTGGATTATCGAACTCGCTTGTGGGGGAATGTAGGTGTGATGGGGAAGAAAGAAGAAGAAATTTTTGTATCGGCCATTAATCGTACAAGATTGTCTGCGAGAAATCGTGTTTTTTCCTTTCTACAATCCCCGATAGTTAATAACGCCGAGAACCATAGGGATAAAAGGATGTGGGGGAGGAGAAGAATGGCAATATGTGGGGGTGGAGGTTGCGGAGTAACTTAGGGGGTGTTTGGCGGGCCAAATGCCCCCTTAGTTTTTAATTTGCCAGAGGTACCGCATATATACTGCGCCCCGCGAAAAGTCCGGACCTCTCCCATCCCACAAAACACCCACCCCCCACGAGACGGGTTGTGAGCACAGCTGGCTCAGACGAGGGTACCCACCGTACTAACCCGTCTACCGGTGGTAGGTCAGTTTAAGGTGAAACATCACCTCATTCGGGGGGTTCTGCTACGATTTGTACGAACAGCGCTTACTCGTGCCGCCGGATCGAAGTCAGAAGGCGCTACCGCAACCGTTCGCTTAGCCACCTCTCTGATTTCAATCCGGCCGCTTGAGCACTTTGTAGGAGGATTTATGTAGTCTAAAGATCTCGCAACGTCAGAACACTTTTGAAGCCTTGCCAAGCGCTGTGTGAAACTTGGTGTGGGTTGAAAAAGCATTTGCCCCTGCGCTGTATACTCGTTGATACTGTACTGTACTCGTACTGTATCTATACGAGTACTGTACAATGAGAGACAAGGGTGTAAACAAAAACACCCACATGAGCGAAGGAAACATCGGTAACAAAGGAAAAACAAAAAACAAAAACAACTGGGATTCGGAATATCCGTATTCATCAACCGCCTAAAAATATTTAAAATTCAAGACATTGCACAGACATCATAGCTTCAATTATCTCTGTATATGATAAGATATTCGACAAGTTTTCATCCAAAATGAGTTCCCCCCCCCCTCTCTACAACAGTTTATGTACCGGGTCACACATTCGCTCTCATGTAAGCCGGTG